ACACCATATTCTTTAGATATTTGGTCCGTAATCCATAAATAAATCATATCAAACACCTAAAAATCACAAATAAATTCTAGGCTGTACAATAATAGTAACACCTGTAAATTCCATTTTAGGGTGGAATTTCCCTTTACACAGTTCAGGTCCTCATGTCAACAACGTGCTCAGAGATTATCCTCCATTAAAGACGCTCAAACGTTACATGGTGCAAACAACACCACACACAGCTGAATTAAAACAAGTTATGTGGCAGTCTGCTTCACATGTGTAGCACATTCAGTGACGCAGGTTTCTTGACATTGTGGCTGCAGGGCCACTGTGCTCGTGCAGCTGCAGTAACCTGACCCCGGACATGTTTTTAGACACACCTGAGCTGTAGAGGCGGGCAGCGGACAGCAGGGCCGGGGCTGCTCTGGAGGACTTCAGGAGGGAAGCAGCACTTCTGCAGAGGAAAGCCATAACTGCGACGACGGTAGGCTGTTGTCAAATGAACTTGCTCCAAGATCGCTGAGGCTACTTCCGCCTGCTTCTTCTTCGTTGGTGTTTTTTCCATGAAGTACATGTTTCACAAACTCACATCACTGCCCCCTGCTGTCTGTTGTTGTAACTACCCCCACCGCCCTCCTCTGAGCTTATTGATCAGTCCTCTCACTTTCAATAAAATTAAATACAGTGTTCTGTATTCATGCAAATACTGTGTTATTATAGCATTTTTAATTCTTCTTATTGTTTACTCCAGGGTCACATATAAAACAATAACAATTAGTTGATATAATTTATTAATTATACCATTTTCATAAAGGGTGCCACACAGTATTAGCCTATTGTCTCATATCCTCCTGAGACTTTTGTTTGGTATGCATTTTTAATTTCTCCTAGCTATTTGGGATCAGTAGGACCCAATAAGTATAAAAAACTATACAATGTCAATGTCCCAGTGTCCTCAGATGAGTACTTCCTAATTAACAGTGTCTTAGCTTGTTACTGTGACTTAAATCAGTCACATTTATATTCCATATCAAACTACAAACATTATTAATCATAAATAAACAATTTTCAAACATAAAATGTGATCAGGTTTTCAACCTAGTTCACTTTTGTGTCAGGATTGACTGCAGACTGACTTGGCAGAGATGGCTGCCATCTTGTTTTCACATGGATTAGTGTATTGTGCAAATTATCCTTCCGCAAGTTCACTGACAGAAATCTTGTGATGACTTTTACTCCCTCAAGATGGTCATGGTTGATCGTCTTCTCTGCGCTCTGCCAGGGCCACTAGATGGGACAAAAAAGTGTCCATGAATGGGGACAACAAGTCTGAGTTAAGTAGAATGAAGTACAACCCAAAATGAGATGTCCTCATATGAGGATGCAGGGTCTCAGGAGTTACATACGTCCTGGTGAAATAAAATAAAAATGTATATATTATTATTATCATCTGATCTTAATAGCATTATCTTATAATATCTGGTAAAGTGTTCAATACAAATGAAAATGTATATCATATATTATTTTTATTTATTTATTTTTTACATAAAAAAATATTTTAAAGGATAAACAGATACACATATTGGTTAAAATGGGCAGGAGCCTACATTGGTGCAGATTACGAGTGGGACGCAGGGGACACATTCCCCTAAATATTTTGTGTTTGTAATATCATTTTCTGGGTCGTGTGCAATGCTACTCCTCATTGTATGTCATATTCAATATAACATTGGTTATAAGGAGCAGTCTGTTTTTTTCCACCATTTTAGTTTTTTTTTAGTAACTCTTGTACTTATCATACTCCTATTGTTACTCTGTTAGGCACCGGTTTTTGCTTTTGCTTCTTCAAACACCACTATCTTGTATATTTGCCAGATATTTAATACTCTACTGTTATAAAGCTGGGCCAAGTGAGTGACCCTGATCCGGGGAACCCACTGGTTGTGTGGTTGGTATTGATTGTGAGTGATTAAAATTGTGGTTATTGTACTTTGTGTAATTTGAAGCATTCTCTGGCACAAGAATTTCCTTTGATATAAATAAAGTTCTATTGAACCGAATTGAAATTAAAATAATATTAAAAATATGAAAGTAGCAGAGGACTTTTATTTTGACTAGACTGATGCTGCAGAAAAGGTACACATCGGTGCATAAAAAACACCATAACATAGGAAATTAAGTGTTTGATGCTGAAAATTTTCTGTCAGAGGGCCTCTAAATCTCAGCCTCATAGGTGCCTCCCTAGTGTGAAAATAAGACCTAAGCCCTTATTCGTTTATGAAAAGATCACATAATAATAATAATGATAATAATAATAATAATAATAATAATATATTAGGTTAGAGATTTTAATCAACAGCAAGCTTCCCTTTTCCATTTCCATTCAAACATAGAATACGTGTAGAAATAATCCAGTGAACACCTTAGAAAAAGAAAAACTAATATCAAAGGCTCCCCATCCAAGAAGCTTTTGATTAGATTCATAAAGCAGCATCTCTTCAGATGTGCCTGTGAGCGCGCGGCGCGTTCTGGTGTTCTTCTGCGTGAACGAGCCTGCATCGTCCGTGACAACCCCTTCTCCTCTTTCCAACGAGTGCCAAAACACAAGGAAGGATAAAACACACGGAAATAAGGTAAGCACCGAACATCAGGATATACTGGTTACACGGGGACGTGGGTGTGTATGGCGACAATGTGTTTCTTTATAAACGGTGGTGTGATTCCTTCAGGCTACAGCACAGAAGCGTTCAGGCTGATTTATGATAATAGGGACATCATGCATGCATGCATCTACAAATCGTTTTATTATATCACTGCACGGATAATAGTGAAAATGTATTGTACATTTCTACTCAATGATACAGTTCCTTGTTAGAGCTCAGTAATACATTTCAAATGATTGCCTATTAGGTACTGACAATGCCATATTTATTTATTTTTTCTTATTCATCCTAAGACAGAATGTTTTTTTTATTTCAAGTGTATGAAGGCTGAAAGCCAGCAGCAATGTTCTCTGGTGAGCATGTTTATTTTTATACTGACCTACTTTAATGGAGAGGGGCAATCTGCAACACAGAAATGTCTTTATGAAGACAACAACACTGAACACCACACGGACATCTCATATTTGTCCACCAGCAGTGTGAAAATACTTAGTCAGTGCTGCTGGTATATTATGTTACACCAGTTTAGGGTGATGTTGTGATTATTCATACAGAATTGACCAGTAAATAGAAAGCACTGACTGTCCTGCAACCTCAAATCAAAAGATGTCTGTGTGTTTAACGCCTACATACTCAAGACAGATGGGTGATTTCTCCATTTCACACATTAAAGGTGCAGATATTCCTCAGGTTTGCTACATTATGTATTCCTCCTGCACAGATGTCAGGGATGAACCAGGTGCTTGCAACATGCTGGACTTGCCTCCTGCTCTCTGCTTTCCTGTGTGAGCCGGTGCTGTCCAAGGGCGGTCGTGGAGGGTCCCGGGGTTCCTCTCGGGGCACCCACTCCCGCAGCTCCACAGCGGGGAGTTACCGGGGAGCAGGCTCCTACGGTGGGACCCGCTCCCGCTTCAGGGCCGCAGGGCGCTCGTCTCCAGTGAGGGTGGCAGCGGCGGCAGCAGCAGGGGCAGCGGTGGCCTTAACAGCGGAGAAATGGTACGCCTCTGCCTACCGCCGCAGCAACGCTGACAGCTCAGACGAAGAGCTGGATTACTACAACAGGACCAATTACTTTGATGCACTCATGTCAGGCTCAACTCAAAATGGATCTTCTCTCTCTCAGCTGGTTTCTATCATTATTGCAACATTTTACCCAAACTATGGACTCTTGGTGGACACTATACTGTAGATGCTCAGCTTATTTTTTAGGATGAATTCCTGAATCAGTCTATGACTGAGCTTCTGCTCTGGATCTGACTGTAATGTGCAGGACTGGCTGGACCTGCAGTGGAATGACCAGTTAGAGGTGCAACACAGTGGGGGAAGGACAATTACAAAAACATCACTGTACTGTATGATTTTACACTTCTAATCTACACCAAGAGACAAATGTACATAACCAGCAGAGTATTTAATGAGACATTTCATCTCTGTCAGTGTCAAATCTACATGTGTGTGACAGAAACTGGGGCCGCCTTTGCTTCCTTAAAGCTTGATTCCTGATCTAATTCTGAAAATCAGAAAATGAATAACCTTTGTAAGTGTACTGCCAATCTCAACTGTATCTTAAAAATCTTTATTTTCATAATATGCACAAAAAGGTGCAAAGTAAATGACCAGCATGAGTACAACTGAGCCAAATAATTTGTATGTATTAAGCAAACTTGGGGCTAAATATAAAGCCTGCTAACACTTTAAGACATTCCAAAAAAATTTCCTCGGAGTCAAAGCACCAAGTTTGCACCAGCATGATTGAAAATACAACATCCCCCAGCAATTTTTATAATCTTCAATTCAACTTTTTGTTTTGAGACAGGAAAAAAATTACAATTTGTGGAAGTTTTTCACTCCATTCTTTCTGCAGAACTGAATTCACCACTGGATTTAAAGATCTATGTATTAAGGCAGTCCCATCTGCAGCCATAAAGATGATTCTCTACCATCAGACAAGGCAAATGAGAGTATTGTTTGTTGTAAAAGCTAAAGTGCATTCCCACAATCATCTTGAATCTCTGTGCAATCCATACCCTTTTATAATACCTGAAATTAAGCCACGTCATGTCTGCAAGGGACACTAGAAAACAAGCTGCTGCTCTCAGTTATTCATGTCTCTGATGGGCTGTCCATCGTCCAAGGAGATTTTTTTTTACCTGCAGTAGACACTCAGGAGCAACAGACTGTTCCATATCAATAAGTGCACTCTCTTACATTGTACAACACATATGTGCATAATAAATTAAGAGTTTGTTATCACTGTCTTTATGCTAATAAATATCCTGTTTACACCATGTCAGATTTCTGCCTCATGTATTCCAAAGGCAACGCTAAAAAAATGTGGTATCTGAGTCCAGTTTGATTCTTTTATTTACAAATGATACAGTGCTTTCTTACATAACATTTATAAACAAAACAGACTGCATCATGTCCCTGAAATGAGGACAGAGATGGACTTCCCTTGGTGATGCTTTTGTGGGGCAGCGCTGGTAAAACCTAGAAACACTCCCCGGTTATCTTCGTTAAAATGTCTGAGGTCAGTCCAGCATTACTTGTCCCAGCTCTCCTTTCCTGAAGGCTCTGATGAAATTGTAAGCTGCTGCTGTGTAGTTTGGGACAGTGATGGTGATGTTCCCTGAGGGAGATGAGGAACATTTTCATATTGGGACTTTACAATGTTTCTATGATGGTGACATAGAAATAGAATGAGGGTAGAGCGGACATTGAACTGTTTGCGAGAGAGAGTACAAAAGAAAATGGCGACTGTTGTTCGATGCTATGGTGACAACACGCCAGTGGGACTGTAAAGTGTGTCACACAGTTTGAGAACTCTGTTTGTGCCTATTATTACACCTATTTTTCAATCCATATTTCTCTCTTTAACTTAACTAAAATTAATGCTAAATTAGAACTCATCGTCAAACACACTCAATTCAAACTTAGAAACAAAATAAAACTCACCAAAACTGTCTCAGTCAGTGTTGTTAGTCACCTAATTCTTTCATCATTTACTGTTCCAACAATCACCAACTCTGGTTTGGTCAAAATAAAACCTTAATTCACAGAGTTAGATGTGAAAATATGCAGATCTGCTGTCTGCTGAGCAGCAGCTCCCACTCGTTCTTTGGAGGCAGCTACAGAACATCATGTTTTAACAAACATGCAATTAATGGCAACAAAAGAAACAGGGAAATAACAGTTAGGGTAATATTCTAAAAATTAACGGATTGCTTATTTGAACTGTAACATTACTACTCCATTGCTTGTTGCAAGTTTGCAACTTGGCGCAAGTCAGTTGTGTACACAAGTTTATACTGAAGTCAGCCCACTAGAGCAGTTGCAATTCCAACAGTGGCTGCTGCTCTGACCATCCTGCTACACTGGCTAAATCTAAACGTCCGTCCTCAGGACTTACCGACTGAGCTCTCGCGGACTTCTGTTGTACGTACTGTGACAATATCACCGTCATCACAAGTCTGCGAGGGCTAGGCAAGCTACTAATATACAGCCTTTGAGACTTTTACTCACTGCCATGGAAACATTCAAGCAACCATTACAATCATTGTAACTGCTGCCATATTTTGTCTGCTCATCTGTCCCTGCAGATAACAAGATATAAATTCCGTCTACATGGTTGTTTTGTGAGTGAACGAACATACAGACTGCAGACATTTAAATACAGAGATGTTTGTGAATAAGGACCGAGCTATGACTAAATAAATCAGATAGGCCTGTTAGTTACATCACAAGATCTACTTTTGTTCTTTTTCAGCCACTTTTCCAGCCTGTATATCTGGCATTACACTGTGCAACCTGTAGGATAGGCTGCAATAAGACAATGCATTTTGATTCCCCTCTATAGCCCATATTTCTACATATTTCTGTATCATGATGTTGAATATTATTTCTGGCCTACACGATTCAAGTATTGCTTCAATAGGCTACAGTAACTGTTCTACAGACACATAAGTTTTGTTTTTTTTGTTGGCTATTGGAAAATAAACTACCATGTCACGTCTGTATTGCAATGAATTGTGGGCAGTTGAATCAGTGAAGTCTTTACCCCAAGCAGACTCTCTGGAAGTCTGCAGAAAGGCTACTTTATGACCACTTGTGGATTGGTTGAATTGTGGATTTGGACAGCCCCAGACTTCCCGGGAACGCGCCCACAAAGTCTGCAAGTGCGGTGAAGTCCAGACATTTGGATTCAGCCGCTGATACAAGTGGGAATGTCAGCCCTACTCTCAGTCTATTCCATTTTATTATGGATGGTAATCAATCTGACAAACAAAGCAAATAAGTGAACTAATATAATAACTGATCAGTAATACTGTGTGTAGCAGGACTATCTGTGTGTAGCAGGACTATCTGTAGGAATAGCACTTTCTTACCAACTCCAGTAATGGCTTTGACCCGTTGTGTCATTCCAAGTTTTACAGCAATACGTTTGAGGACATGCTGAATGTCATCGCTTGGCTCTTGGAGGTCGTATTTCTCTACGTAACTGCGCGCACACACACACACACACACACACACACACACACACACACAGGTACAGTAAACAATCACAGCCATGTGATAAAAGTACGACACTGACCATGTAAAAATATTCTTTCTACCATACCTGAACTTCTCAAGCCTGTTCAGGGAATACAGTAAGTAGTCAGCGATTATGTCTTCACCCACTAAATGGTCCAGAATAGTTCCTGGAGAGGGAAAGAAAAAAATATTAAAATACTTATTGAAGACACTGGAAAAACCTGATGATGTTTCCACACTGTGTTTCCTGAATGACAGTAGTCGTACTCACCACATAACGCCAGCTTCATGCCCGTTTCAACACTCTCAATCTTCGGAGGCAAGACTCCTGGCGTGTCCAACAGGTGCATTATGGGTCGCTCACACACCTGAGGACAAGGACAGCTACAAATACTGCGCAGATGTGCACACACAATGAACCCATGAACACATATACACAAAGACAAACATGTCCTCTACACTCACCTGTATTTTAGTCAGGACTGCTTTAGTTATACCTGGCTCTCCGCCTACTCGAGATGCACGACCTGAAATATAAAAGCACCGAATATTTATCACTGAGGAGGTGATCAAACTGAATCACTGTCCAACAGCTGCTTTATTACACATACCTTTTTTCAAGTTTGTTCTTCTCAGTGAGTTAATAAGAGATGACTTCCCAACGTTGGGTACTCCAATCACCATCAGGCAGTAATTTGTATTCTGAAAGATTTACATGACAAATTTTTTTTTGGCAATTTATAAAGCTATTTATAAAGCTAAATGTGCTCAAGAACATGAATTAAAAACAACATATTTAAAATGCTTAATTTCAATGACAAGTTACTTTTGGATATCACCGTGCCAGTCATGAAACATCATCAGGTAGAGACACATGTATTTTATCACTGAGCTGACGTTGTCTGGAGTATAGTGACACAAAATAGATCATTTTTTGAGCCAGACAGGTGATGTGGGAGACAACCTTAAAAGCTCCAAAGCATGTAGTGAGGAAATATGACCATGAATACATTAAAGGTATACTAGGCAAGATTAAAACAATTCTCATACAAAAGTAATCCCTCACAATCATCACTTGCAGCATGACAGTGTGTGGCAGTGTCTGTATCTAAAGAGAGCGTGCCGTCTGCCTTTATTTTCTACTTATTTTGGTTTATTTGAGACATTTCTGGTCATCAACCTTTGAGTAGTGGACTCTATAAAAATGTAGCAACCACCTGCCTCTCTCCTCTGCTATGTGGATGCGAGCTGCAGGTTGAGCCACACACACTCAGAGTTGAGAAATGGACAGGATGAATTCACACAAAATCCATCAACGCAGCACATTCCTGCAGGGTTGTGCCGAGGTGTGTGTGTGTTTACTTGTGCTTTAGAATGTAACCGCCGTGAAACAATACATTTTTATTTCTCTGATTCACTGCTTTGTCCTCCCTAACTTCCTATGAATTTATTCTCTAGCTCGCTTGACCACCGCTGCTCTCTTAGTATCGTTGAGCCAAAGAGAAGGGGCCAAGTTTGAATGTCGTGTTTACAAACTGTAAGTAAAAAGTCCTGCACAGCATGCCTTTAAATTTGGATTCACAGAGTAAGGCAGTGATGCTGAGCTGACAGCACAGTGTGTTGAATGTGGTGAAATCCTGTCACATGAGGCGCTTAAACCATCAAAGCTCCAGAGACACTTCAACACAAAGCAGCCGGGATGTGCTGGAAAGTCACAAGAATATTTCCTAAGGAAAATGTACGAGCTTCAGGCACAATGAAACGTCATTAACATTAACAGCTGACAGTTGCATAACACATATTTACTGCCCAGTTTGTTTTTCCTCCTTATTTTGTCATGTTGTGTTTCTCTCATGTATTTGGGAAGGTGGTCCTTGGAAATTTTATAACAGCCAAGAAGTGGGCCTTAAGTTACAAAAGCTTGACAACCCCTGGGTTAGAGTACGGCCAACCTATTGGCTTCTAACACCTTAAAAGTTGAAAAACATACAAATATAATTGACATAAAAGTGTAAATAAATGGTTCCATGTGGTTTCAGCTCCACTAAGGCGACAGAAAAAACTTACAGTATTTTGGTTAGCATTGATCATAGCTCTGTGGGGCTATGTCCTTTTATTTATGTTTTATACTTCTTCTATCATATGTAGCTTATTGCCCCGGCAGCTGTAAAATGCCTATTGGGCTACAATTTTTAACTTGTTTCTCTCAAAGCTGAAAGTAGATGAAATATATTATCAAACTGCCTTCAGTAATCATACCTCAACTCTGTTAAAGCGTGGTTGGCTCTCAATCATTTCCACCACCGTTGGCACCAACTGCAGAAAAATGACAAGCAGCAGTAATTTGCACATTCATGCTCATACTTGTTATGTTAGATGAACTGAGGACACGTCTGCACACAGTCAAACGTTAAGTATCCAGAGAAGATTTTTACCTTTTTGATGTTGTCATCTCTCTGCTTTAAACAGTCTGTGAAGAGAACATTCCTCACCCTGTTTTTTTCTAACGTCTTCAGGATTCTCTGCAGGGCAAATGTAAAGTAACAGTTTAAAATAATTTAAAACAAGACTACAAGAGTTTAAGAGAACAAGAACAGGACATGCAATTTAAAACCTGGAAAAGAAAAAGCTATTTTTATAAGCATTAAAGGCAGTAGTTACATATATATATACACACAGAATAACACTGTAAAACAAGCAGGACATATTATTAGCTGCAGCAAGAAAGGAAGAGTTTAGTGCGTACACGTGATGACATGCAACAAATAATAGCAAGACTTTTGACCTGCTTGTTGGACAGATCAGCGAGGTCCATCTTGTTGAGGACCAGCAGATGAGGTCTGACATCTAGAGTCTCCTGAAACACAGGGTTTCTTCCCGAAAAGGGGATGTCCTTAATGTTAAAGAAAAATCAAACAGTTCTCATTTCATCTCTGCATTAAAATGAGGTAAAGTGCTCAGATTTTTAACTGTAGTGGGGAAGAGATAGCTGTAATTCAGTGATCTTTGTGGTGGCTGTTACTTCTAATCTACAAGTGCTTTCTTTCTGGCTGTACCAAGGTCTGGACTTAATCACAAAGGTAAATGTTTCTTTGCTGTTAGAGCTCCTATACTCCTGAATTCTGTGAGGTTGATGGCACTTTTTTATTTTATATATTTTAGAAATGTGTTTTAGCCTGATTCATTTAAAAAAGGTCTTAAAAAGTTGTCATATGTGGAGAGGAGATTTACCACCTCTAGCGTACAGGATCGAGATGATCGAGATCTCTACGCTTGTTCACAGAGAACATGATATTTTGGCTGAGCCCGTCATCCACTTTTGGAATAATATATATATGATTTAAGAAGGAACTCCTTAAAATTATTTCCAATGAGGTGTTTCTCTACAAAGAGAAAAAACTTCTTCACACTTTGTGCAGTAAAAGCATGGCACAGGCTTCCAGAGGATGTAGTGAGGGCTCCTTCAGTGAACTCTATTAAAAACAGATTGGATTAATTCTGGTCAACAAAGGATATTTTTTATCATTTCAAACTGATTTGTGATTATTTACAAACCAGCTCTTAAAGGGAGAGGGAAGCAACATAAAACCAGATGCTTTTTATAAAATAAAGTTATTTGTGAATAAAGTTAGGATTAAAGTTACAAACAAAATGTGAGGCAAACTAACTACAAAGTAAAAAGAGCTAGTGGGTGCTGTTCAACTCAAGAAATATAAATAACCAAATCGGACTTTTGAAAACAAGACTTACTAATCTTATCCAAACAAAATCAAAAGTGTAGTATCCTAAATTATTTAGTGGACAACTGGAAACACAAATTAAACTTGTTTGTTTGTTTTGTTATATGGCATCTTTGCTGTAGTTGGTGAGTCTGGTGTCAAGAATTAATATCATCTACCAGAAAATGTTGATTAAATTCCATTAAATTAAATAAATTAAAAGTCGTAATTATAACGCTCACAGTGCCTCACTTTATATTTAGATTCATTAGTTTATTCTACATTTCTTCTCCGGCTGTGTGCTTTGTAAAGAAATGTGTAACCTTGTTTTGAACAGTGTTAAATAAATAAAACAGCAGGCATCTTCTGGCACTACCAATGATAACATGATAAAATAACCAGAATTCCTTCACATATAAATAACAAAAAGACACTTTGCATTGTTATATTCTACCAACAGTGCAGTAGAGAATAAAGGATATTCTGGCATCATGGATCTCTATGATACAGTCCACACTCTTCAGGCTGGCTCTCATCTGCTTCAGTCCTTCACGCAGTCAGGTGAAAACTGTTATAGTAACTTATATTACACACGGAATTACCTGCTTTACACAAATACGAACATTTATATTCGTGGTGCATACACCTGATATACTCTAGAGATGACTTAAAGCAAAGCTGTCACCTTTAGCCATGTGTCCGGGGAACCAGTGAGCCACTTCCCGTCCTCCAAAGTCGAACACGGTCCTGAACTTGCTGACATTACGGAGCGCCTCGTGCAGTTTCATGGCGGCTGCTCGTCTATATGTGACCGTGTTTTGTGTGTACGGAATTATTATTATTATTATGCCCCAGCTAGCTACAAAGTATCTGGCTAAAGTTCAGCATCTTGCTGCGGTGGCTCGGACGTGTTGGTCATGATGTGCCTCTGTGTTTACATGCCGACTAGCATCTCTAGTCAAACAGCTTCGTTCGTTCCGGTGTGAGACCACTTCCTCTACGTTTTCTTTTTTTGCAGTTTTTCGCTAATGGGAGAGTTACTGCCACTTACCGGATAAAAACCATACAACCATACTGTGTAGTATGCCAGAAAAAAATTAGTACGTCCCAATACACGTTACTATAGCAAATACAGTGTGCCAAAAATACCAGTATGTTCCATTACATCTGGTCGGATTTTGCAGAATGCAAGCCAGCATGCTTTTCTGGCTATTCTGACCAGTGGGTTAAAGTAGTAAAATAACAACAACAGAGCTCTCAGGTTGACCTCCATCTCGGGTGAGCTCGGTGAATAATAATAATAATAATAATGATGGTAATAATAATAATAATAACAATACTACTAATAATAATAATAATAATAACAATAATAATAATAATAAAAACAATAAAATAATGATTATTTTGAATATTTAAATAAGTGAGACTGAACTTTATACAATGTTTTGCACATACATGTAGGAATCAATTAACTCAATGACTTAAGACAGAACTGTAAAAATAGTTTATTGAGAAATGTCTTATTTATCAATAGAATCTGATGGTTGATTACAATCAATGGACAGAGAATAATCAGATCAGCAAAGCAGAAAGTTGAAAACAGCATGGAGTTCAATCACTATTATAACAAGACAATGAAAATCTTATAACTGCATTGATTTTTTTTCAGTTGAAAAGCAATATATATGGGTATTTAATAGTGTTGTTGACTGATTCAGGTCCAAACTTGACATTTGAGTGCAAAGTTTTGAGTGCCAAGTGGGCAGCTTTCGTCATCAACCAAGCCCACCTTTGCCACCCTCTCACCAACCGCCCAAAAAAAGAAAGAACTGTGCACTGAACAGCATAAGGTCAGCAGTATCACACGTCACTGGCTGGGGCACTTTATACATTGCACTGACCGCATTAAATAAACAGCAGCTCTCACACCATCCTCCAAATCAACTCTGAGATCATAGTATGAATAAGATAAAAATTTTGGCTATAAATCTGATAAATCTCTTTTCATCACAGCAGTGCAGTTCTTTTAAAGCTTTGATCTGAGCGGCTCAGGTGCACGCATGGAAGAGTAGTGAGAGATGAGTCTGTCAGCCTCTCTCCACCCAGTGAGAAGAGCTCCATGGACGGTGGAGTAGTAGTATGGATGAGTAGCCTCTCCAGCAAACAGCACCTGCAGGGGCTGAGACAGATCAAAGGTTACAGTACAGAGTCTTACACCTTGGTTAATTATTTCTGAGTTGGTGTGTGTTTGTGTTTGGAAATGTACAGTAGGTACCTGTGACTGTGATCCCTTTGTAGGCAGGGGCTCCCTCATGTTCTCCAGGTCCTGCGCTGAACAGCCTATTCCTGGGTGAGAGTACGATCCACATGTCCAGGGGTCATGAAACCACTGGGAGTGCAGGACTCTCCTCGGGGTGATGGTAGGATTTCCTAAATACACAGAGTTAGTCTGTGAGTGCTGACAAAGATCTAAAATGACCAGGGCTCAGAAACATTTTTAGAAAATATTAACATCCTGCTGAGGATGATTCACTCTGAATGGAGGAGAAGTGTATCCGGATGCTCGTGACTTATTTAGACTGACCTGTAAATCTGTGGATGAGTTGTGTGATGGTGTGTGTGACCTCCTGTTCAGACAGTGTCTCCATATACTCTGACTCATGCCCAGCAATCCAGCCACACAGAACATGGCCATACCTGAAAGGTAAACCAAAAACATTACTACCTTCCTAATCAATGTATTCACCAGTTATTTTCCATTAAATACAACATGAACAAGGCAAGCAGCAGCATTTGTGGTTGCTGACCTCTCAGTGGGTTTCAGCACAGTGAAGCCAAACAACTTCTTCATCCAGGACCTCTGCACATCTGGCACCTGGTCCACCATGACATCCTGAATCATGACAAGAGATGACACAGATCAGTTCAAATGACCCTGTCTGTTTGATTTTTTTTTGCTAACTAATTGCAGAACCATAAAACATTTTTGGGATGCATGTGGGTGGAGAATAAGACCAAATAGTATGGTCGTGGACCGCACCAGAGACTCCAACTTGAGCCAAACCAGCCTCAAACTCAGACCCTTGATCTCTTTCAACAAGCCTTGGTGATTCCTCATCCTTTGATTGCTTTAAAAATAATTGAAATACTCTTTGCAAAGGCTTTATCCACATCAAAATTTATTATTTAGTATTGTTTTTTTTAAATTAAATTTCAAGTGTAACTTAATCCAGAGTGTATTACACCTTTACATACATGTCTTACCTCATCTTCCCACACCAGGTAGATGACCTCACAGTCAGCATCCCACCACGGTGAATCAAACTCCACAAATATTTTATTATTTGTTCCAAAACCAAGTCTCCGGACAGAGTGTAGCTTGTGCAGAGGGAGAGGAGGACGAAACAGGGTTGAATGGTGCTTCTTCAGGTATCCTGAACAAACAGAGCAAACCAGAACAAGTTATGTTATGCTATGTTATGCAGTATAGGGCTGCAACTACCCATTATTTTTATTGTCTATTAATCTGTTGATTATTATTTTCTCGAATAATCTTTGTCAGAAAATGGTGAAAAATTTCTAACAGCATTTCTCAAAGCTCAAGATTACATCATCAAATGTCTTATTTTGTCCACAACCCAAAGATATTCAGTAAACTGTGATCGATGAGTAAAGAAACCAGAAAATATTCACTATTAAGATGCTGGAGATTTTGATTTTTTTTACTCAAAGCAATATATCGAATATCAAATTAGTTGGTGATTAGTTGACCACTAATCGATTAATGCATTAATGGTTGCAACTCTAGTTCAGTACTGAATAGCTTGTTCTCTGATTAAAACTACATCAGAAATGCACATTTCATAAACACATCAAAAACAGCAGAAAACAGTACATCATGTTTAACTGCGACTAATGTGCAGAATTAAAGAGATATTACACTTGAGACTGAAGTTAGTGACAGGATTTAGTAATTAAAATGTTTATATTAGAAACAGTAACTAAAATGTTTAGGTATTTGAATACACGTTTGATTCTACCTAGAGGTATTGTGACAATCACGTGATCAGCGGCAACCTTCTCCCCATCATCACACTCGATCATCACAGGGCTCTCTCTCTTCTCTGTGTTGTTCCAGTGGACACAGTGAACAGGCTGATTGTAGGTCACCAAATCACTGGGGAGCTCCGACATCAAGTTCTTGATCAGACCTTCATAGCCACTGCATAAGAAAGAAAATGATGTTTCAGTCAGTTAGACATGGGGTGTCGGTAGCCTAGTGGATAGTGCCGGCACCCCATGTACAGAGGCATAGCCTCGCTGCAGCGAAATATCAAAATAATCTTAAAAAAAAAAAAAAAAGTCAGTTAGACATGCACATGTATGCTGAAACAACCAGTTAATTAACTGTCTGAGTGATGTACTGCCAATATGCTGAATTCTTACAGTGTCTTCCCTGTCTGTGTCAGGTAAAACTACTGGGGCCCCCTCCTGGAGCCAGTTGTCATCCAGAGGGTCCACCACTCGCAGGGGTAGGCATTGAGATTGGGGGCATTGTCACCAGGAGAAAGGCAAAGGTGGGGACGTAGGCGTGCTGACCCCTGGCATCCAACTGGTTCTAGGGACATGGAACATCATCTCTCTAGTGGCAGAAACCAGAGCTGGAACAGGAGGTGGAACAGTACCGACTAGGGGTACTGGGCTCCTAAGTATAGCACTGGCTCTGGAACCAAACTCCTGGAGGGGCTAGACTTTTCAGGAGTCGCCCAGGGTGAGAGGTGCCATGTGGGTGTGAGGACACTCACAAGCCTCTGGCTGAGCATCGCTGTCTCGGAGTTCTACTGGGGGAACATAAAGGTTGCCTTTATATAACCGCAAGCTGCTGGGATGAAGTATGACTGCTGTTTGTGCTTATGCACCAAACAGCAGTTTGGAGTACTGCTGGGGGACTCCAACGTTTACATGTGCAACAATGGAGAAACCTGGAGGAGGGTGATTGAGAGGGCCTGCCTGGCCTGAACCTGATTGGTGTCTCCTTATTGGACTTCTGTGCCAGTCACACAATGTCTGAGCGTAAGGTGATTCAAGTGTACTATAAGAGGGAGGGAGCTTGGAGAAGATCGGCTGGTCTGTCCTGTCCAAAAGAGCCTGCTGAGGTGGTTCAGCCATCTGATCAGGATGCCTGGACGCTTCCTTTTGGAGGTTTTCCGGGCATGTCTAACTTTAAGAAGGCCCTTGGGTAGACTCAAAACACATTGGAGGGATTATATATTTCATCTGGGCTGGGAGCACCTGGAAATTCTCCAGGAGGAGCTGGAAAATGTTGCTGGGGTGAGGGATGTGTGGACTACCTTGCCTAGCCTGCTGCCACCACAACCCAGCCCCTAAGAAGTGGACGATGGATGGATGGGCCTTTATTCTATGTCATGATTAAAAAATACTTGGAGCGTCCTTTGGTTGACGATCAGATAAGCTATTGCAGAATCTTTACTCATGAAATTACTAACATGTATATGTAGGAAATGACAACTTAATGAAACTGATTATAGAAATAATTGTTAGTACGAACCCTGGAAATGTACAGTCCAGTCCAGGAAGAGTCTTGTATAGGCCAAAGGCACCCAGACCCACCTCATCCATGCTGTGAGTCCCGTTAACACAGCACTCCACCTTCAGCATGGTACTGATCATACACAGTCGCAGAGAACTGGTGGCTGCATCAACATCTTTCCACTTCTCTGCTGCTCGTTGTCGAGCCTGCGCAACACAACAAGCAACAAAACAAACTCCTTATTCCTGCAAGATGCAATTTATTATCAACAACATCTGAGCTGGAGCGTCACAAATATTGGTAGCTCACAAACACACTGCCACTATGATAATAAACATATTATTACAGTCACGGAGAGAAACGTACCTCAGAACGTATGAAATCTCCCACACAGGCATGGGGTTCTCCTCCTTGACTCTCAAATTCTGAACTTTCATCAATTAACTCCATAAACAACTCCTGAGCAGGATAGATGTCCTTGGCATTCAGCTTCCGACCTGCACACGACCCACAGAATACTAATTAGGAAAATATCATCACACCCTACAGTAAATAATCAATGGCACTGGCTATACATGTCTTAAATTGTAATTCCAGTATTAGTTTAAGGAAACAAAGCAACACTACAAAGCAAACACCTTAAAAGGAACTGACAGTTAGGAATAACACACAGGAGTAAAATACCTGATCTACCAGACTAGTTTGTGGCTTGTGTACAAGACTGCTGTGTAAACATCCGTCTGAAATCAACCAACTCTTTCTACAAGGGTCAGACACAATAACGTGAATATGAATATCCATCTTTTACTTATAGTGTGAGAAAGGCTGCTTCAGCTCTGTGGTACACTTTCATATTATCTCCGCATTAATTTGAACTAGAGGTCAGTGGTCAGTCTTAAACTATGATTTTTAAAACATCTGGCAACCTGAACTGCTGAAGACATTGGGAACCCAGGGTGGATGTCCTTCGACGTCCATGGCCTGGTTCTCTGGGGTGAGGGCCTCCGGATCCAGCAGCCCGTACTTGCGGGCCAGACAAAACACTGGGTTCTCCTCAGACGGTCCATGGATCCAGTTTGCCCCTACCTCAACAATATTATCACCTGCAGATGAAAAACATTGTGCAGTGGCAGAAAATAAAGTTATTTATTGTTTTTTTTAAGTCCCCTAACATAAATTTCGTTGCTGTTCGTTTATAACAGGGTAATATAATGTATAACCCTTGCGTAATCAGCTCTTGTATTATCAGATAGTCACATGTTTTACAGCGGACATCTGGTCTCAAGACAGAACAATACTTTAAAAAAAATTAGGTGAGACAATGTTTGGATCTGTAAGATATAGCTTAGTGTGTCCACAGGAGGATAGCATAGATTACAATAGTAGTTGCAAGACAATAAAAAGTGCCGTATGGTTCAGAGACACTGCAAAACGTATTGAGGGGTAACGGGAAAGCCATCAAAGAAATGACACTGTGACCTCAGAGGCTTCCCAAGAAAATGTATTTTTGTGATTTGGTAAAACCGATTATTATTAAGATAAACTGCAGTCAAAGTTGTAAACAGCTGCTCTCACCCAGTCTAGCGGTTTTTATTCTTCCCCCGCTCCTTGCAGTCGCTTCAAGTATCCTCACATGATGAAACCCAGCGGTAACGAGCCGCTGTGCCGCCGCTATACCTGCTATCCCACATCCTATAATAACTATTTTAGCGTTCACATTCACAACCATACTTGCTTAACCATTACGGGCAAACGGTCCCTTGGCTTCCTGAATTAAAAAGATTTCCAAAGCCCCCCCAAAAAAAAGTCTTTTCCGGTTAAGAGTTTCAAAATAAAAGTCGTGTTTATTAGAGTAATATATAAATTAATGCATGTGGCAGAGCAAAATGGGATTTTCAAGTGAAGACTATCCCTGATTGTCTTACTTATAATCTCCTAAAAATCCACTTATAAAACGGTAAATGTCCACCTTCTTTAAAATCATAGCAGTGGCCCCTGATTGTGTGCCTTCTCACTGGAGTCATAGGGACAGCATACAAGTAGTGTGATTTATGGAAGCCTGTTCAATTATCGTGTAATCCTACAATAGCATTTTATTTTTTTCACATATGTATGTGCTGTTTGAGTAAAATTTTAAATTAAAATGCAATAATCCAATTACATTTTCATGTTCACATACTGCCCCGGCCAACATTTGTATGTGGAGCCCACCTGGGTAGTAAGTGAGCTGAAAAATGGGTCCTACATGGGATTGTCCACAGGTTCCATAATGGCCTTATGCCAGTGGCCCACATGGGATTTTACCCAAGTGGGCATCAGATAAGATATCCATTTAAGGCCCATACCCACTTGGTACCCAGGTAGCCGTGGCATAACCCATGTGTGGCCCACTTGGGTAAAACCACCGCTTCACTGAACTGAGCTGTTTCACTGATTTTGGTACAGTTAGATCACTTTAAGTTAGGATTCAAGTCACTTTTTTACACTTCATATAAGTATGTTAACCCAGATTGGTGGAAACCTTGGCATGATTAAATAGTATCATATCTGAAAATCTTTTTAAAATGACCACATATTGAGCATTTCAAATTAATTTAGTACCACTTTCCCATTGTGAGAGTATTCAACAAATAAATATATCTGAGTTGTGAGTCTGGTGTCATTTAATTACACCTAGCTACAAAAATAAAGCCTGCATTTCCAAACATGACATCACTGTCAAATGTTAGTGTTTTCATTAGGCTAACATGGCACTAACAGCATATACATTTTGTAAACTTGCAAACTTTGCACTTCTGGAAAAAAATGAATACCCTTTGACACATCAAAATCATTACATCATCAGTTTTGAAAAAGAAAAACAAACATAAAAATGTTATGTTAAAATGGTGATGTTGTAACATAATTTGGTATTATTACATTTTTAATCAAGTTAAGTTTTATTACATTTTCAGGCAATATCATATTTTCAGGAAATTATTTCAGTATTGAGTGCTACAGAACTTTTGTCAAATACAGTATGCAGTAGTAATCCCCAAGACTTTGTTGTGCAAAATCGGTGGAGTTCCCTCTTTTAAATCCATTAAATGAAATGTACAAGATTGTTAAATTTTGGGGATTAAAAACATTTTAAAATTTTAGATCTGGACTGATGGAGGAGTACTGAGAGATGAGTCTGTCAGCCTCTCTCCACCCAGTGAGAAGAGCTCCGTGGACGGTGGAGTAGTAGTCTGGATGAGTAGCTTCTCCAGCAAACAGCACCTGCAGGGGCTGAAACACACCCAGGCAGTTAGAACTGTGAGCAAATGACCCTTTGCCAAGCCCCGCCCCTTTGTGATGTCCCGCTAAGCTGAAGCTAGTATTGAGCCCTCCCTGAAGAAATATTATCATAATTTTGGAAAAAACGAAAAAGTGATTCCAGAGAGAAGCAGACAGTCTGTGTTTGAAGGATATATCCAGGATGTCAAACTGACTCAGCAGCAACAACAGGTTAAAAAGACAAAGATAGTTAGAAGCTAAAGCCGAACTATAGGCTACAGATCACAGTGTAAAAGTGAACCACCACATCACTGCTGATCGCCACAGAAGACAATGAATATAAAGGGAAACTTTGCAGATATTCATCCAGCTACATGTCATTGCACTGTGTGCAGATGATGAACAGTGTTTGGCTTCCCCTGTGATGCTGGCGAAAGTCGGGCAGGGATCTCCGGGGGAAGCCAAACACCATTCGTCTGTGCACAATGTGATGACACACAGCTGGTTGAATATAAGTTTCCCTGCTTCCCTTCACTGGTTCCTGTACAGCAGGGTCGGTCTTTATTCAGCCTTATAATCACTAGTAAGCAAACGTAAGCAAAGCAAATGTGTGTATCTTCTTCAGTAGGCTGTACCTTGAGTAGCTAACTAGTTAGCCAGCCTTACACCTTTCAGGGTTTGGTTTTGGAACAGGGAAGAGATCTCCTACCAACCTCTCCGGGTAATCAGTATCATTAATACACATACCACAGGCACAACGTCTAGCTCAAAATCCACGAACCAGTCTGCATGTAAGGGGCAGGACTTTGCAAAGGGTCATATTTTGTGAGTTAGCGTAAATGTACTCTGTACGTGTATGTGTAAATAAAACATGTTTTTCTGTGCACCTGTGATGGTGATCCCAGGGGCTCCCTCATGTTCTCCAGGTCCTGCGCTGAACAGCCTATTCCTGGGTGAGAGTACGATCCACATGTCCAGGGGTCATGAAACCACTGGGAGCGCAGGACTCTCCTCGGGGTGATGGTAGGATTTCCTAAATACACAGAGTTAGTCTGCGAGTGCTGACAAAGATCTAAAATGACCAGGGCTCAGAAACATTTTTAGAAAATATAAAGATCCTGCTGAGGAAGTGATTCACTCTGAATGGAGGAGAAGTGTATCCGGATGCTCGACCTGTAAATCTGCGGATGAGTTGTGTGATGGTGTGTGTGACCTCCTGTTCAGACAGTGTCTCCATATACTCTGACTCATGCCCAGCAATCCAGCCACACAGAACATGGCCATACCTGAAAGGTAAACCAAAAAACATTACTACCTTCCTAATCAATGTATTCACCAGTTATTTTCCATTAAATACAACATGAACAAGGCAAGCAGCAGCATTTGTGGTTGCTGACCTCTCAGTGGGTTTCAGCACAGTGAAGCCAAACAACTTCTTCATCCAGGACCTCTGCACATCTGGCACCTGGTCCACCATGACATCCTGAATCATGACAAGAGATAAAACAGATAAAATGAAATGAACAGAATCTCTGTATTATGAATGCTGATTAGACTAATTCAGGCCAGCATAAGAAGTTTCATTCTGAAAAAATAATTTAAAATACTTTCCCTATATTTTCAAACTGTACAATGGCAACAAGACGGTGAAAATCAAGGAGCTTGCATGTGTCATTCCAGTCATTAGGGTCAGCCTCATTCTGATACTGTGGCTTTTAAAAACATGCTTAAGTCTTTCTATGTGCACTTATACTTACCAGAGCTTGAAGTCATAAATGAGGAAATTTCAGGGGAGCAACAAAAATCACTGGACGACCCCATCACAGTGGAAGAAATTCAAACTCAAGGCTCCAGATCAGATGGTTTTCCAGGCCAAATTTTTAAAGACATGTGAACGAGCTCTCACCACTCTTGTTAGACATGTAGGGTTCATCTCTTAAAATGGGCTCTCTACCTCTAACACTATTATGCCTTGATCTTGATCTCATGAGATGCCGAGAAGGTGTTTGATAGGGTGAAATGGTCTTTCTTAATTAGTACTGTGGAGGCTTTTGCCTTTGGGGAGAGATTCATCTGCTGGGTTAGGTTACTGTGTTCAAACCTGTGGGCAGCGGTTCAGACAAATGGCATGTCAGCTCAATTTGACTTGCACAGAGGAACAAGACAGGGATGTCCTCTGTCTCCACTCCTCTTTGCGCTAATCCTAGAGCCCCTGGTGTAAGCTATTCACCAGGATCCCTTATTCCCAGGCCATCAGATTGGCCAGGTTTCACAAGAGTCAATGCTATATGCAGATTATATTTTAATGTTTGTAAAACAGCCTGATTAGTCGATGCCTACTTTTCCATCAAGTGGAGTCTTTCTTAAGGGTTTCAGGATATGACATAAATTGGATGAAGCCAGAGGCCCTCCCTCTGACATCCTATGGTATTATCTTTATTCATACATGTCTCACCTCATCCTCCCACACCAGGTAGATGACCTCACAGTCCGCATCCCACCACGGTGAATCAAACTCCAGAAAAATTTTATTGTTTGTTCCAAAACCTAGTCTCTGGATGGAGTGCAGCTTGTGTAGAGGGAGGGGAGGATGGAACAGGTCTGAATGGTGCTTCTTTAGGTATCCTGAACAAACAGAGCAAACCAGAACAAGTCGCGTTACGTTCAGTACTGAATATTATTATGTTGCTAAAGACTCAAAGCAAAAAGCCTCTTGTCACTCATGCATGTTGCTGATCTGTCTCAGGGAGCACTGATTAGCATCATTATTTTATTGTGGTACTATTCTTTAATTTTGTTGTTGCCTTTTTGGTTTTATGTCTACAGATGAGGAAGTTTATGAGAATAAAAAATTAATGTTTATGTGGAATGCAAAACCATATTTTGGTACCATATAAAGATGAGGAAATTTCAATCAATATTCGTGGACATGAGCTAATCAGGATCTCAAGATGCAGCCAAGGAAAGGAAAGGGTTCGGTTTGGGGACCTCACAATTGCAATGCTGCTTTTTGCTAATGATGTGGTTCTGTTGGCTTCATCACACTGTGACCTCCAGCAGGCACTGGGGTGGTTTGCAGCTGAGTGTGAAGCAGGTGGGATGAGTCAGCACCTCCAAATCTGAGGTCATGGTTCTCTGCCAGAAAATGGTGGATTGCCCCCTCTTGGCTGGGAGAGTTACTGCCTCAGGTGAAGGATTTCTAGCATCTCGGGATCTTGTTCACGAGTGAGGGTTAAAAGGAGCATGAGATGGATAGGTGGTTTGGTGCCTCGTCCGTGAGGAGGGAGCTGAGCAGGATTTACTGGTCCATCTACATCCCAACCCTCACCTATGGTCAAGAGTTATAGGTAGTGACTGAAAGAATGAGATCATGGATACAAGCAGCTGAAAAGGGTCCCCTTAGAAGGGTGGCTGGGCTCAGCCTTAGAGATAGGGTGAGGAGCACAGACATCCAGAGGGAGTTTGGAGTAGAGCCGCTGCTCCTTTGCATTGAAAAGGGTCAGTTGAGGTGGTTCGGGCATTTGATCA